CATCGTGATGGGGCAAACCTGGATCGCCTTGATCCTGCTCTGGTGAGCCCGGCCGGCACCCCTCCATATCGCAACGGCCCTCATCTCGCAAGCGGGCTGAGTGGAGAACAAGACTCGGGAATAACTGGGCATCGCCACTTCCAGTTGGTCCAGACCTTGGTGTATCACACGTCGATCAAGCAGATGCAGCCTCGTCTGCCCATCTGAAGGTACTTTCTCCGCCATGATTGCAAGTACAGGCATCGCGAACAAGCCAGGCTGAGACCTGCCGTCTCGCATCCACGTCTCTTCTCTGGCTTTGTCTGCTTCTTGGTCCCAACTGCGAGACACAGACACAGGTGGCGCCTGCAGGCAGCTCCAGGAGAAGGGGGGCCACGCATATGCACAGCACACGGGGGCGCGCGCACAACACACACCCCTCTCGATCACCACCACCCCTGCCTACCACCCGCCCGCCTTTTTAGGGGGGCCCCTCTGTCAATCGCCTTGTCATCCCGTCATGTTTTAAAATTGTCTCTCACGGGCCTCTTCTACTTGGGCGCGCGGCTGTCTGTGATCTGTGTATCGGGGTCCTCTTCTCCAGTCGATTCGCGACTGGAGAAAAAAAGCAAATACTGCTGCATGTCCCCGATCGAGAGCCACAGTTGCGTTCCATGCCGTGCGTGGGCTGAAGGAGAAATCGAATATCGCCCAACGCGCTTAGACCCGACGTGAGATACGCAAGGGTCCCGCGGTACGGCTCGGGCGGTCAGCCGTCTGCACCGCAAAGGCCTGGGCCGCCAACAACAGCTATCCTTGGTGTTTTGGGGAGGGGGCGTGGGCTGTGTTGGTTTTGGCGAGGCACCTAAGAAGGCAAAGTACGTAAGGGAGAAAGGAAGCGGCCAACAAGTCAATATGTTCGCTTTCCTCAATCACGAGGTGGGCCTGCGTGTCGTCTCCCACCCCCCCCCCTTCCTCTTCAACACCCTTCTCTCCGCTGTGCTGGGGGGCCATGGAAGTGTCGACAGGCCCGACTCCCCGGGAAACTGAAGTTATTGACAAAGCGTTGACAAAACTGCTGGTTGTAGCCGTCGCCCAGTAGTGGGGAGCAGACAGCGATGTTCAGGTATCATGCCCGTCTTGCTAAGACAATGAGGCGGTCGTTGTCTTAGCTGCCACCCAGCCATTCGCCCATCAACAAGGCGAAGACAAGAGGGCAGCCCCTCTCGCTCCCTGGGCCCCCTCTCGTTGCGCCGCAGTATTAGCGGGACCGGCCATGAGACCGTGGAATGTGTCTTTCCACGATGACAGCTGCCCCCGCCTACAGCTCAAGACACTGGCCAATATCCCCGTCCCCCGACTCCTTCAGGCCTGGTGGCCGGTCAGCTTGGGGTGAAAATGGAGTGATGTATATATGTGTCATCAGCTGTAGCGATGATCCCTGAACAGCAAGCTATGATGGAGAGATACGCATGTGTAAAGAAGAAGAAGAAGAAAAAAGAAAAAAGAAAAGAGTATCATCATCATGACCCCGATCCGGCCAGGGTAACCCTTCTCACCCGAGTCACGGGGAGGGGGGGGGGAGGGGCCAAAGGTATAATGCGGCTCTGCTATACCATCCACATTCTTCACTCCCGCCCCTTTCGGGACCTGCCAGCCCTCTTTCGCAACCTCTTGCCCCAGACGGTCATCGCTGCGCATAGTCCTCCCCACTGACGCAGCGCACTGTCTGCATTCGTGGTTCCAGTCATCGTGC